ACGATCCTGTTGTCTGTAGAAGACATCGCTGCTGATGTGGCAGACAACGCCAAGGCATCTGCATTCCAGACACTAAAAGCAGGCAAGAGTTCCCTCGCCCAGGGCAACCGCTGCAGTTATGCGCTCCGCAAGGCTTGCCAGACAGACCTGTTTAAGGATCAAATACTCACGAAGCTTCTCTTGTTCTGAAAGTTATGCCGAGTTCTCTGGAGCCCTCTTAAAACCAAGATGCCCAAGGAGAGCTTTGAGGGGCTTGGCAAAAAGATCCGTCTCTTTTCCAGCCACGGAGACTCTCCCTTGCTCTCTCTCTCTCTCTTCCCTGTTGCTGAACTATCATGGCAGGCCATTAAATTCTATTTCCTGGCACTGGGGGAAAGCAAACCAGAGACACCATATGACAACTTAGGAAAGGCAGGCAGATGGGTTGCTAATCAACACTGCCTGCCAAATTTGACTCCCGGTGTTCTACCTTTATTCTGTGCATCACTTCATGAAAATTCTTGATCGACCGGCTGTTCTCCGGAGGATCTTCCATAGATCAACAAGGATTTCCATGCCACAAATGCTCCATGACAGCAGCAAGAATATAACTCTTGCACTCACCCCAAAGGGAAGACACCTTGTGGTCCTCCATATGCAACTCACACCACTGCTTACCATTGCCTGTACTGTCCCGGCCAGGTGGGATTTGGGAAGCTGAAAGTTTTCCACCCGTCCTGAAACAAAGAAAGCTGGGGTAATCAGGATTTCCGTACCTGCTTTGTTCTCCGGATTCTTTACCCCTTTTGCACCATGTTCTGTTTGGTTGATTTTGGAGTTCTACGGAAAAGCACAGAAGATCCCGCTGGAAGGCTGCCCACTTCTGTGCTTAAAACACGTGCATGGAAGAATGCAGTGCAGTTTTCAGAGTCAAGAGACAGAGGTGGCCCTGTTGGTGCCAGTAGCATTTCTGGTGCACTTTTTCCAGTGAATCCACCAACATTTTGCCGGGGAAGTTGGAAACGTGTGTGCAGCCCAACTGGAACCTGAGAATCAATGTCTCGCCTCCCTCCTGGCCACCCACACCCTGCACATTTCCGACGGCTCTGCCCCGCTTGTGGCGTTCTTTCCGCTCAAGGGATTCTTGGAAAACATCCTTGCCCCAAATACGAACCACCTACAGCTGAACTGCAAGTCCAGTCGGCCTTTATACACAGTTTCTCAGGCCACAAATGTGGGGAGGCACTTTTACCAGTTTGGCAGAAGGGCGGAAAAAATGCACGGCCCTCTTTGCCACTGCCCACGGAGAGGTTTAATCTCACTGTTCCGGGTTTCCTTTTTTGAAGTTTGCTGTGACGGTGGAGCTGCAAGCTTGTCCAGCCACCTTTTCCTCCAGCAGTGCCTCGCAGGAAGCACAAGACATGGTCTCTTTCCAGGGGCATCATGGGAAAGGGTGCATAGCTGCTCCCCCTGGGCAGCCATTTTTAAAACCCCACAATGCCTCTGGAAGGATGCTACGTTGTGGCAGAACATCCTTGCACTGAGGCACCGTGGGGGAAACAGTGGGACGTGAGGTGTGCTAAGAACGCTTTCCACCACAGGAAACACTACTTCAAAAAAGTGTAACAGAAAGGGAAATGATATGGAGTTTTAAAAGGGAAGTCACTGCCTTGTCCCCGAAAATGGTCACCGGTTTCCGCAAAGGCTGTTTTCTTTTCCTCCGCTTCCCCCAGCGCCTTGATGTTTGGTTGGCAAGGGCCCATTTCAAATTTGCAGCTTCGTGCTAACGGCCAACAGCTAAAGATCAGTTTTTGCTGGCATGGAGAATGGTGTTCTCAGGCACTTGCTTTCCCGGCCCACTAATTATGTGATAAATGAGCAATACTAGCTCTGTTGATGGATTTGATTTGATTTGATTTTTCGCGAGGACGTGTGTGTCCGCGGAGGTCTGTGCAGCTGCTCAAAGAAACAGGTTGACCTTGGGATGCCAGGCCGTGCCTGGCTGTCGTATTGTCCCAGTCTGGATCACGGGTCTCAGGATGGCCTGTGCTTCCCAGCAAGCCACCCCAGGTGCCCCTGCTCTCAAGAAGGGGTTGCTTCCCCCAGCGGAAAGGAACGGCAGCTCCCGCCATGGGTAGGGGAGTGCTGCGGACCAAGGGAAAGCTCTTGCCATTCCTGCCAAGCTCGCCGGAGGTGCCACCTGTGCCAACCGCTCCACGGATGCCCAAGCGGCCCGGTGGGGCAACCGCCACTGGCTTGCTGGCCCTCCCCCGTCTGCGGCCAGGAGCCCGTTCCCCGGCCTTCGTCTCTCCCCGCTGCTTTAGAGGGGGAGACTTCCCCCAGTCGCCGTCTCGACAGCCCCTCCGAAGAGCCCCAGGGGTTCACTGGGGGCTGCTGGTATTTGCCACCGCTTTCCTCATGCTTCAGCAAACAGCTTTGTCCGTTACGCTTTTCTCTAAGCTGGCACGGCCCATTTCCGTGAGAGTGAAAACAGGAAAATAATGTGCTGGGGGGACCCGCTACCAGAATGCGGCAGGTGCCCACCAGCGCTATTGATCTAGAAAAGCTCTCAGTGGTTTTGGTTTTTGGCACTTTGCGGTCCCTGTTCTCCATCTCCACCGTCTCTCCCAGACGAAAGGGAAGGAGAGGCGGTAGTGCAAGGATTTAGCAAGGCGAGCCGTCAAAGGAAGAGAGGGAGCATCTGTCTCCCTCGCTCTGGCCAGGTTGCTGGGCCAGAGACGGGTGGGCTGGGCTGGGCTGGCTTCTGCAAGAGTAGACACGGGGCCATGCTGAGCCCACCGGATGGAGCCCAGCGCTGGGGTTCCCACCCACCCATGGATAAAAAGGACTAATACTCGTCCACTGGATGTATGCATTGGACGATTGCATTCAACTGAGTATACCCTGGTGTTTCTGTGTGAGAGGATGAGAACCCAACAGGGGATAGAAAAGGGTAGTGCCTTTTATGTAGTCTGTAAAAGGGACTCAGAAGATCTGGGTTCTAGTCCCTGCTCAGCCATGGAACTCATGGAGAGCTGGTGTGGTGTAGTGGTTAAGAGAGCAGGACTGGGACTCAGGCGATCCGGGTTCAAGTCCCCGCTCAGCCATGGAGCCAACTGGGTGACTTTGGGCCAGTCACAGACTCTCAGCCCAACCTGTCTCAAAGGGCTGTTGTTGTGAGGAGAGAAGGAGGAGGAGGAGGAGGAGAATTATATAAGCCACCCTGAAAGAAAAAAGGTGGGATTTAAAAATCATAAATAAATACCATTTTGCCAAGTAGGTTAGCCAACAATGTGTGGAGTCTCTTTCCATTACCTGAAAAAGGTTTCCAAATAAAGACCTAAAATGTAGGCATTCGAAATCTGGCTGTATTCCCATCAACCTCCTTCCACCACTAGGTGTGGTGTGATGTCTTTGGGTCACACTTGCAGCAAAACAGCCTTCTGGATTTCCCCCCCCGTCTTTCTAGAAACCAGCCGGGAGGATAAAATTCGGTTCTGGGGACCAGTCAAAAATGGGACCCCAAAAATGTAAGATGTACAAACCAAAAATAATGTTCAAGGATACCTTGTCACTTCGGCAGCACTGATAACCATGGGAAGCTAAGCCCCGGCTGAGGCATCATTTCTCACACACAAATATGACTCTGCAGCCGGATTTCATGCAAGGTATGTGATGCAGAGCTTTTTGGCAGACAGGTATCAGTCCTATGTGCACCTCCTAAGGAGCAAACCCTACTGAGCTCAATAGGACTGACTCCAGAGTAAAGACAGTCACGACCGCAGCGTCCTTTCCTTCAATTCACTGTGTTTGTGAGCAATAGCACTGTGGCACACTCGCCCCCATAAGGCCGTGGTGGTATTCAGGACCAATCTGCAAGCTCTCTAAAGTGAAACGGCAGCCCTTCAAACAGGACGACTTGAATACTGAGACGATCAAATAGTTCGGTTGATTTTATTTAGAATGTCTCCAACATGATTCTCCATTCGGGTTCCACATTTCAAACTCGCCCTTTCTATTTTGAGGAATATTAGAGGGAGTCTTAAAAACTTTGTTTCATAGAAGGAATACAAATTCTTTATGTCCCTGATGGACATTTATGTGTCAGCTGATTCTCTCTGCTTGTCTATCATGTTGGCAGGGGGTTATGGGGGGGGGGGCAGGGAGGGAAATCCAGGCATGCAAACAGTCATCTAAATGCCTCAGTTCCTAAAACTGACGTAGCTTTTGCAACTGCTCCATCGATTCAAATCACGTACCATACATTTACGGTAACATCTTCTGCATTTCATCTTTTTTCCTTGGCTTGTGCAGAAGTGGACAAGCAAAGTTGCTGTTCCGGAAGGCTGCCATCCCACTTGGAAGATAAGAAATATTGGACCAACCAACCCTTAGCAGCCCCTTGGCATGGGCTCGTCTGGGACCCCAAGCCTCCCGTCGCTTGACCGTCCCGTAACCACACTGGTTTTGTGGGTGAACGAAAGCACACCGCATTTGGACCCCAGGCGGGTGCTCCTTTCCCCCAAACACTAGAGCGTGTGTCTTAATTAGAATCCCGTTTTTCCCAACGAACCAGAGGTCTTATTACAGAGCACAAATGAGGTCTAAAAATTTAGCGACACCAGAACACAGCTCTACAGAAAAAACACATCTCCAAGGTAGGCTGACCTGCTTGGAAACAAGAGATTAAAAACAGCACAGCGAACATGGCTCTGCGATGCATTGTTTCCCTACTGAAATAGAACAGCTTCATTTCACACTGAAATGGACAAAGCAACAATGGACCGCCGTCACCAGTCCCTCCAGCGCCAGGCTGGCGTCGTGCCAGAAGCTGCAGGCGAGAACGTGGCTCAGAGGGTGGGCAACGGCGGTGGGCAGGTGACAGCCACGATCTCAGCATCTGCTCTAAAGTGACTTCGAGATGATCATTCACCAGTGTCAAAATATAATCTTATACAACCTTTCCCTCCCCCCCTCCCTCCCTCCCCCTCCCTCTCCTTGTAAACAGATCTGTTCATAAATAATTTGGATGTCTCCATGACATTCATGAAATCTAACAGAAGCTGAAGTAGAAAAAGGATGGAGGCGGAATACAGCATTGAGGAAATGTCAAAGAGTACTTCATTTTTTGTCGTCGTGTTGTTTTTGTATAGCATCTGACGCGTGAGCTGTGAGTTGCATCAGCCGTCAGAGACGGGAGGGGTGACCCACCCGTATTTTTCGTGGGTCTTCACCAAGCTCTTAAAAGTTGCTTCAGCTTCCTTGCGGCTGAAGGACTTTTTTGATTTCCCAGCCTTTCTGCAGATACGGCCCTGCGTGAGAGAAACAGAGAGGAGAAAATTGGTATTCGGCAGCTCAATGCAGGAAGACATGTTAAGGAAATTGCGCGGATCAAGATCAACTCATAGTTTGCGGCAGAACCTGTGATAAATTTGTGGTCAGGTGAGAAGGGCACTACAATCCACCCTGTCTCTAAGCTAGGCAGTGGGGCTTGTTTGTGGAAGAAGAGATTATGGGATGCACTGCAGGGGCTTCCCCCCCTCCTTCCTCAGTTCTCTCACAAGCACCTGAGGCAAATCCAAGACAAAACCCCTCCTGCCGCCATCTTCCCCTGCTGTGACCGCAGCCCACTTTGCAGACACCATGGCTTCCTCCCACTTTCTTCTTGGAAAACACTTTCCATCACCTCTGACGTGACCTCAACTGGTAGCCCCTTCCATACAACTGAAACGGCGTCACTGGTTCACCTCTCCACCCATCTCTTTAGAAGGCGCTGCGCCCCAAGTTTGTGAGAATGTTTGTTATCATCTGTTTAACGCCACCCTCACCCCCAGATCAGAGTAGCACAAGTACTTAGATTTGGGCATCCCATAAATGCAGCCTCGTCTCATCAGTGCTCCGGGTGGCATCTCTGGACCAAGCACAGAAGGCAGAATCCACAGGCACTGGCGAAGCGAGCTTCCAAGTAAGTTAATGCTGCTTTGCTTTTCGTTTGACAGCCATCAACTGGAGAGCTGTCAAAGCCGTCAAGTGAGAAGTTAAGCCACAGATGGGACTTCGCTCACACTAGGGTGGGCGCGTGGACTACCAGCTCAGCTAGGGCTTTTTTGGTTGGGACTGTGTTGCTCTTAGCACCTCCGCTTTTCCCCATGGCTCTAGATAGTCAGGGAAATGAAAAGATGTGAGCTGTGCTAATTTTGCAAGCACAGTTTTGGAAGCTATCCAAATTCAGGCTTCCTTTAAAAAAAAGAACAAACACCAAAGCTCATAAGGGGGTTTTGACAGGGAAATATACGTATGTAAAACCTGCACATATCCCTGTTAAAACAACTCTGATTTTTGCCCAGAGTACCATCCTGCAGCTGAGTTTGCACAACATGGCCACCACCGTGGCTACCCGTGACAGGCCCCTCTGTCCTGTGACCCCAGTCCTTTCGTAACTTCCCAACTTTGACCTGAAAAGTCAAATCCAGGTTGGGGTATTCACTGGCTATTTATTTATTGCCTGGTCCCTTATTAAAATGTACAAAGCATCTAACTAGAACAGAAAGTATGCACACTTCTTCTTTTTTTAAAGTACATTTCGCCAATTTCCCCTGAAAAAAGATACATTTCATAAAAAATGAAATAAAAAATAAGTGTAGACACTATGCCAATTCAGAGAATGTTTGTATTCATTAAACAAGCACTATGAGTTGCTAAACTTTGTGAAAGTCTATTGAGAGAATCCGTTCTTCGGTTTGTACACCAAAACATGATGGGAATATTCTGGTGTACTTATTGTACCAAGAATACTTGATAAAAGGGTATACTATGCAGTATATTCAAATCTACATAAGACACAATTCTAGGTGAGATTAGGGAGCTTTTCCTATGTAAGCTCGCCCAGGATCGTGGCCTCAGTCTTTACAAGTCTAGATCCATGCAGTGGGATTTTGATATGTATAATGTGTGATTTTACTGGCTACTCCCTAGAGATGTAACCTACCCGAAAATGTTGAGTCTTTGGGAAAGCAACACAATTTTTCCTTGCTTACTTCGAGAAATGAAGAGGAATTTAGGGGAACCGAGGTATGCAGTCTATGCAATTGCTGAGAATTATTTAGGGCTCTTCTAGCCAAGGCTTTTCTTGTGTCTTGGTGTGTGGTGCAACCCATATCAGCTTGCTTCTCTCCTGTGCCTTCCGTGCATTTTCACTTTCTTTTCTAAGCAGGGGGAAATTGGCATTTTGGGGAGTTGGAAAACACAAAGCCAAGTTTTGCCGTGGGATATACAAAGAGGGAAATCCCTGTGTGCAGGTTCTTGTCCTTTGGCCCACGAAGATGGCAGAAGCAGCAGAAAAAAGGTCCAAGGCCAAGTGGCTAAGTGAGCAGGAAGTTCCCCGGGCCATAAGAGACCCTGGAGTTTCCCGTGTGGGCGAAGAAGGAGGTCCACTCACAGAGGTTCTCTCCAGATGTTTGCTGAGGTTTCTGCTACTGTGACTGGATCCACAGCACCTTCCTTCCTGGGATTGCCCTGCACCTGCCAAATTTGGGAGGAGGATGCCGGCTTTGGAGCAGGTACACGAAGAAAGCAGGAAAAGTCTGGCAGCAACCAAACGAAGCTGCTCTCTGCCAGCTGCCCAGATGGGCATGTTCCCAGCAGGGCTTTCAAGGGCCTCCTTCCTACATCTCCGTAAGACTGTTTTATAACTGCCATTGTATTATTCACATCCCAGTTAAGGATTTCCTTTCAGGTAGAGGCAAAGCTCGTAAGGCCCTTCTTGCTGTCTTTTAACCGCAACACCTTTATTTTAATTTTGCCACTTTGCAGAACTGTTTGATTTTTTTAAAGCTTGGCTTGGCTTTAATCCTCTTCCGTTGTCATCGCAATCGTGAGATATCTGAATTGCTGTAAACTGCCTTGAAGGCTCCTGGAGGAATAATTATATATATGCACAGAGAGACACAGCAAGAGACATCTTGGGGTTTCCACTTGGAAATATGGAGAGGGGAGTTTAAAACCATCCTGAAACCATTTTTTCTTAGAAGGAGTCTCCGTTCCACCATCAACACTATCCTGAAGCAGAGGATCTGTTTCCTAACTCCACGGTGCTTCAGAGGGAAGAGGCAATCCTGCAAGCAAGGCCCACGTTCAAATTACCTCCAACTCTTTTCCAAAGAAAGAATGCCTGCCTTTAGCCACAGGGAACAGAAGTCGAGTTGTACATGGTTACTGAACAAGGCCTCTACACTGGCCCACCTTAATTAAGAAAAAATCTTTCGGGTTAAGAAGTTAAGGGCTGTCCATGCTTGGAAGCTCCAAAACACTAGGAAATGAGAGCAGACCTCAGCTGCTGGGTCATTTAGGCAAGATGGAAAGTGTCAGGGTGTCCTCAGCTGTACCAGGTTCTGAGTCTACCATGCACAGAGTAATGGGCCAAAGCCCAACATTTACTGTTTGATGGAATAGATGCATGCAGCTGAAGCTCATATTTCATGTATGCAATGGGTGATGAGCATTTCAGAACATGTGTTGTTGTTGTTAGTCGCAAAGCCATGTTCAACCCATCGCGACCCCATGGACAACATTCCTCCAGGCCTTCCTGTCCTCCACCATCCCCCGGAGTCCACCTAAGCTCACACCGACTGCTTCAGGGACTCCATCCAGCCACCTCATCCTCTGCCGTCCCCTTCTCCTTTTGCCTCAATTGTTCCCAGCATTAGGCTCTTCTCCAGGGAGTCCTTCCTTCTCATCAGGTGGACAAAGTATTTGAATTTCATCTTGAGTACCTGGCCTTCTAAAGAGCAGTCAGGGTTGATCTCCTTTAGGACTGACTGGTTTGATCACCTTACGGTCCAAGGGACTCGCAGGAGTCTCCTCCAGCACCACAATTCAAAGGCCTCAATCCTTTGGCGCTCAGCCTTCCTTATGGTCCAGCTTTCACAGCCATACATCAGAACATGTAGCATGACTTTATTAAGGGCCAGAAGTCTGAAAGAATTTTTATCGCAAAACCCCAGGGCCACAGATCTATGCTAACTTATAAACTTGCAAATGATGGATAGCTTATCTGCTCACACATCTTCTGGGCCAAAAATGTTTTTTCTTCTTTGGGAAAATGTAAATTTGGGGACCTTCTGAGACATGCGAATTTCCCAAGAGAAACACAGAGCAAATACCAGTAACTCTAGAAAGTGTATCTCATTTACAAAGGCACACTAGTCTCTGCCTTGGAAACAAGATGTTCAAGCATCCCAGTATCCTAGCACTCTTCCATCTAGAGGCCAAGCCAGGGAAAACTCTAGGAAAGCCAGACTCAGAATGTCAGCTTGCTAAGCTTGGTTCGCCATCCTGACTGTAAAACAGCAAGATAAAGAGCATATATTTAAAGTAGAATTAACGCTGCAGTGCTTATTTCTCCCAATCTGCATGATCTCTCAGCCCTGTTCGCCTCCCCTTTACATGTTGTAGTTTTTGAACAGTAACCAGTCTGAGAGCTGAAGGTCCCATGCTCATAAAGCAGAGCTTACAAATTTCCACTGGATAAAGAAGTTCTCCCTTAAAAACCACATTTCTAAAACTGCAATCATATTTCTCTCCATGGCACATGCTGGACCGTCCAACCGTTTCCTAAAAGATGCCTGCACAAAGGGGGAAGTCAGCAGCAAAGCCAATAGAAAGGATACCGTTTGTCAAACTGCAGGCTGTCAAAAAGGTCTGGTCTGTCAAACTGCTGGAAGTCACTCCTTCAAACTCCTATAGTCAGTCACTGGTTACTCTTTCGACTCAAAAGTCACATGAACCATCATCAGCTTGATCTCTCCTGCACAGCTGAATTTCAGTCAATTCTCTGAGCATTTCATTCCTTTTTCTAAAAAGCGCCCCATTCCCAACCTTCAAAGGTCCATTTTTTTTCCACTGGGAAAAAATTTAAAAGGCTGGGGGTTGAGAAAACCACCTCCCAATCTTGGCCATTTCTCCCCGAGGCCTGCCCTGATCTACCTCTGGTTTCTTTCTATCCTGCCTGAAATCATCAGCTGCTCTTCCTCCATCCACCAGCATGGCGAAGCCGTGCTGGAGCCGGGGGTCAGACTAGATGTCCCGGGAGGTACCTTCTGACTCGCTCTGTTTCTGTGTTTCTCTCTCCACCCGCAGCAAAGAGTGCATGCAATCCCGCTACTCCCTTCTCTGACACCCTAAAATTTAGATGGGGAAGGGTGGAAGTGTTGAAAATACCTCTTTGCCTTCCTGGTTTCTGACTCGCAAGGAGCTCCCATCTCTGAGGAGAATGTGTGTCCATGTGAGACAGCAATGCTACTGGAGTTACTCG